GCACCATGGTGCGGCGGGGGCGGCGGCGGCTGCGGCTGGGGCGGGTGGTGGTGATGGTGGTGGTGCGCTGCAGCGTGATGGTGGTGGTGGTGGTGCGGGTGGTGCGGGTGGTGCGGGTGGTGGGGATGCAGGTGCCCTCCGGGCCCAGCGCCTGGCGTGCCCTTGGCGCTTCCCGCGTGCAGGTGAGTATGGTCAGCACGCAGCACCTTGAAGCGCTTGCGGCGCCGCAGGAAGCTGCCGTTCTCGAACATGTCGCCGCAGTCGGGATGCAGCGCCCAAAAGCTGCCCTTGCCGGGCTGGTCGGGCCGCCGTGGGATCTTGATGAAGCAGTCGTTGAAGGAGAGGTTGTGGCGCAGGCTGTTCTGCCAACGCTGCGTGTGCTCGCGGTAGTAGGGGAAGCGCTCCATGATGAACTTATAGATGTCGCTCAGCGGCAGCATCTTCTCGGCGGAGTGCTGGATGGCCATCGCGGTCAGCGAGATGTAAGAGTAGGGGGGCTTTTGGTCGCTGTACGAACTCTTCCCGGGCCGCGGCATCGCCCCCGGCGTCTCCAACGCCCTCTGGCCCAGACTGGACCGCAGCGTCGCTCCGCACCCCGCACCCGGGGCCTGGCTGTTTCCACTAAGCCCTACTCCGCCCTCCTGGCCCCGCCACCCCGCCCTCTTTCCCCCTAGCCCCTCTCGCCGTTTCTCTCCCTCCCTCTCTCAGCTGTCTGGGGTCTCCGCGCTTGGCCTCTTGGGCCAATTCAGCTGTCCGACGCTCGCAACTTCCAGCCCCGACGGTAGCCGACCCGCGCACACAGTCTCCGGCGGGGCGCGCCAGCTTCACTGCCACCCGCTCGGCGTCTTCCCTCGGGTGGCCAAAGGCTAAGCGCGGGAGCTGACAGAAGTGGTGAGGGGTCGTGCTCCCTTCCGGCCTTCTCTTGTTTTTTTCTCGGTCTGAGGAAAGCTCAGGCCCAGCGGGCTGGGATGAAGGACTGCGCAGTCAGGACACTGGCCCTTTAAATCCGAGTTGGCGCTCGCTGTCCTGGAGGCCGGGACGGCGGGACTTAGCGTCCTGGGCGCTGCCCCCCGACCGGCCGATTAGTCCGCTCCGGCGTTTTCGTTTTCCTGGAGGCGAGAAGCGAGGTAAGGAGAAGGAAGCTCGGCTCCTGGCAGCCTGCGTCTTCCTTTCCTCCGGGCAGCTCTCAGCAGAGCCTGGGATGGAGCTGAAGGCGGTCGCTTGGGGGAAAAGTTTGGTGGTTTCTTCAGCAGCCGCGCCGGCAGGCTCCGCGGAGGGGCGGGGGCGCCGGACGCAGGGCGCGAGCCGCGGGCCAGAGCGGGCGTCTGCGAGCGCGGGGAGGGCGCCGGGCTGGCCTGGGCCGGCTCAGCCGTCCGCGCCGCAGCTGCCGCCGCTCTCGCGGGCCCGTCTGGAGATGGAGAGGCGGCGGCGGCTGTGGCAGCGACGCGCTCTCCTGGCTGCGTTTTGTAATGGTCCCCGAGACGCCGAGACCCCCGCAGCTCGCGCTTCGAGACTATCACATGACCGAGGCTGAGGGACTCCGCCGCCGCCGCCGCCGCGTCTCTCGCTGAAGAAGGGGCGAGAAGGCGCCGCGCCTCGCCCCCGCCCCCTCCTCCGCCTCGGCTCCGGCGCCCCCACCCCCAGCTTTCACCACCCGCCCCGCAGCCCCTAGCCGCGGCGGGGCGGGGGACGCAGGCAGTGCGCAAGGAGGGGCACGGCGCCGGGTGCCGTCCCCGGCCCTGCACCCCACCCGGGTCGCGAGGCACGGCAGAAGTGGCAGGACGCTGCTTCCCCGCCCCTGTCCTGCAGCTCCCGCCTGTCTCCGCCCTTTCACTCTTCCCTTTTCCCACCTACCCGCTCTGGGCTTCTTTCTCCTTACACTGCCTTCCTCCTGGACTAGCCACTCTGGGCCAAGTTCGGAGCGCAAAGGCCGGAGGGTTGGAGGGAAGAACTAGCGCGGAGGAGAGCCAGGGGTGTTTTTGCCACATGCCAACTTCATCACTTTTATTGCGCGCCAAATGAGTGTCAGGCCCAGTGATCGGCTCCTGACACAGGAGGGCCTGAGAGCTTTCTGCGCTCCAGGACCGCAGTCTAGCGAGAGAGACTGACAGTAACCGGGAAATTAGGATAGATGCTAAGGCTTGGTGGATGAAGGTTCCACCGTGCTTCCCAGGAGCAGGTGTAAGGGGCAGTGTGAGGCGTTTCTCTGGATGGTGACGTCTGAGCTGGGTCCAGAGGAGGGCTTGGGAGTTCACAGGTCCCATCACTTGGGTGTGTTGGAGCAGTCTTGCTATTCTCAGCACATCGAGGGAAAGGGAAATAAGTAAAATTAAACAGGGGGTCAAAATGATCAATCTACAGGGCTCTGGTGTCATCTGTGAGGGAAAGGTGGATGAGCCGCGGCGCTGAGGTCCCGGTACTTGCGGGGTGGGGGGTCCCGGAAGCAGTTTCCTGCTCTGCACTCTCCGCATTCTCCGCACACCCAACAGCGAATCCCAGTTGACTGACTGCAGAGAGAACCCGCAGTCAGATTCTGGTTTTGGCTGCCTTTGCCCTTAGGCTGGGACGAAAAGCAGAGTTTGGAAAACGTACCCTCTTCTCATCTCTGCACCTTAGTTTCTTTATTTGTAAAATGAGATCTCTGAAGTTGGAAATTTTACGGTACCCTTTCAGTTCCGAGATCTGAGGAGAAAAGAGCAATAAGGGACTGTGGCTCATTTGGCTTTTAATTTCTTACTTTCCATGCCCAAATCCGGTGGTAGAATGCCGTTGGCCCAGACTGATTGGGAGACTGCCCCTTACCTTCCAAGTTTGGAGACACCAAGTTGAGTGTTTATAGCTTCCGACTCTTGTTGAGCTGAGCGAGGGGAGGACCACGAGACCGGCTATTTGCCCGTCGGGTCGCAGAAGGGTAGTGAGCGAAATAGATTCAAATTTTCATTTAGGCAGGATCTGTTATTACTGGCTGGTGCTATTTGGCCAGTTTTTCCTAGGCCAGCAGACGTTTTAGAATAGGCGTTAAAGTGGAGCGTGCAAGAAGGTCCCAGGGGAAAGAGCAGACTCTTGGCCCACCCTAAGGAAAGGAGACCCTTTCAGAGGAGGATGCCTTCGCTGTCACTCCATGCCAGGAAGGTTCCTTCTGCCAATGGAGTTTCTGCGGGATTTCTGGTCTGTTGAAGCAGTTTAAGGAAGCGAGCAGCAGACCGCTTCTTGGCCGCGCGAAGCCACGGAGGAATTCGAGAATGCCCAATGACAGCTAGAGCCCTTTGGGGCCGGGGCGGACGTGGTGCGAGAACAGCCCTGTCCAGGCCCAGGAGCCGCCTAAAGGCCACTGGTGGGAGCTCGGTGTGCCCAGGGCTCAAAGGCTCTTCCGGCCTTAGCCCCGCACTCAGCGCGGGCAGACACATTTTGTTGAGTATCTTTTCCGCATGCTCCTGGAAAAGTAGCGCCTCCTGTTTGGGAGTAGCTCGGAGACATTCTCGTCGGGCAATTGCGCCCCCCACCCCGCGTCTGGGGACAGAGAGAGGGGAGGGCCCTTGAAGGGCGCGCGGGACCAACCTTATACGCATAACCTCAATACTAAACCTGCGAGCTAGTTGCTCACTGGGTGAGCTCGTTACAGCCCATAGGTCTGCCGCCACCACCTCGGGCTTGGCGCCTGGGGACACGAGATGCGTGGCCAGCGCCTTCGGCTTCCGCGAACCAACGGCATTCAGCCGGCGAAGCGGCTCCGCGCAACCTGGACCAAAGCAGAGCCGGGGAGGTCGAGCAAAGCGCCCGAAGCCTCATGTTTCCGCGTTCTGGGTGGACTTGCCAAGAGTAGAAAGTGCTCCCGGGCACTGATGCCCCAGGGGGTTCCCGCGGCCCAGGTCCGCAGTTGCGGTGGAGAGCGCAGCCCGGGGGCGCCTCCCGCGTGTCCATTTCGGAGACGCGCCACCGCCCCGGCCGCCGCGGAGTATTCTGGGGAATTCCCGGCGGGGTGCGGGGCCTGGCAGCCGAGCTCCGGCCGCGGTGGGGGCTTGCTTTCCCTCTCTCCCCCACCTTCCCCCGAGGTTGATTTAATTCCGGCAAGTTTTGCAGGCGCGCAGCAGCACCGGCGGGGGCCGGTACGCGCGCGCTCCAGCTGCCTGCAGACCCCCGTTCAAGAAAAACAGATCAAGTAACCACCCTGGCACCAACCAGTCGGTTTCAAATTTCTGCGTGTAATTTTTTTTTAAACAACCACTATGCTCTACAAATATTGGCTGGCGCTGCGGATGCTGGCAGGCAAATCGTTGCCCCGGGCTTAGTGTAATTATCTCAGGCGTATTTGGTTTACCCCTTAGGCAATTGTTGGCGACGCTTTGCTAGGAAGAGGGGGTTCCATACACGGTTTTATCGCATTTAATAGGCTCTATGGAGGGGAGTAAAAATTTGCCAGAAAACTATGTGGAACTTTAGAAGTGGCTATTTATTCATTCTCTATCCTCTATCCCCCCAGCCCCGCGGACAGTCCCACGCACCCCTCAGCCTGGGTCTAGGCCAGTAGGACCAAAATCTTTCGCAGACTGCTGTGCCCAGCGTGAGGAGGAGCCGATGGGGCCAGGACGACGTGCAGGACTTGGAAAAAGGTAGAAATTCATGCGCACATCTCGATTTTCATAGGTTCTCTGTTTACCCAGTGATCTCTGACGTGCGGAAGGTTTCCTTCGTGAGTTACCTTTGGGATTCTCCCAGGCGCCTTCACTGTCACTCCATCCAGCCTCTCGCCTGACCCTCAGCTGACTCCAATGCCCACAGATTTCCCAACCCCTTCCCCTAACCTGGGCTTGAAGCAGGTGGGAGAAGGTCGGCCTGGGAACCAGGACACGCGGTTTCCAGCCCTAACCCTGGCACCACCTGCTGGTTGACCTGGTGGCGTCAT